CACAGTCTTTAAAAAAAGAAGTGCACAGCTACTGCCGCCTTTTGAAATATGAAAACAAAAACACGTTTAGAAGATTATCCCTTTATCTCCCTGCAGCAGCCTTAGCCACAGAGACGTTGAGCCAGCCTCTTCATCTACCTAACAAGAAAGACAAGACAGCATATAGAAAGCTTTTCTCCCCCACCCCCATTCTCCCAGTTTTAAAACATTCATCAGAAAGTCTTAATTAGAAGTGATTTCTATCGTAGATTTGCTACTTGAGAGTTGCCGGAAACTTCAGAGCCTGGAAGCGCTGAAGACGGCACCCTCTGTGGAAGGGTCTTACATGGTTGCCTCAGAAGAATTAAGAGGACTCTTGAAGGACTGATCCTAAGGAAAGGCCAACATATTTTTTTTTTTTAAAAAAAACCTCTCTCATTTTGTTTTTGGACTGCAACAAGTATAAAACAACTGATACCAGCAAACACTGGCTCTCAACATAGAGTAAGAATCCAACCTATGAACCTGTATATACAAAGGCAAAATAACAAATTAGGAGTATGGCAAGAGTCTGATTGGTTTTACAACGCTGACAGCAGACAAATTAATGGAGTACAGTGTTCCCTCTAAGCTGAGTTGGTGTGAGCGAGCTCAGTTTTTTAGCCTCCAGCTCACAGATTTTTGCCTTAGCTCAGGAAGGATGGCCTCAAAGCAAACTAATTTATGCAGCAACCTAATGGCTCGCTCACAACTTTAATGCCCATAGCTCACAAAGTAGGATTTTTGCTCACAAGACTCCACAGCTTAGAGGGAACATTGGTAGACCCATGGCTGTTTGGCAGAATGGCTAAATGGAACCTCCTGTCCAGAGGGTGCATGCCTGTGAATACCAGCTACTGGAGGGGCAATGGGGGGGGGGGTAAACAGAGGCCTTTTTCTCCTTGCCCCACTTGTAAGCCTTTTGGGAACATCTGGTTGGTAACTGGCAGAGGCAAGATTTAAACTGGGAGTCTCCTATGATGTAGCACATTCGCTTAGTGCACTATTGATTCTTTATAACACCAGACTGTTGACAACATGAACCACTGGTCTAATCCAGCGTGATGACTCTTATGTTTATGGTGGTGGTGCCTATGTCAAGGCAGAAAGGCCCATGTAACAATGATCCATATCTTTCTGTTCTGCCACTTAAGAGTCAGATTTCCACTCTACCAAGAAGTTCATTGAGTGACCTTGGGCCAGTCTCACACTGCCTCAGCCCAACCTAACACACATTGCTTGCGAGGACAAAATGGGAGTGGAGGTAGGAGGGAACCACTTCCACCATAATGAGCTTCTCAGTCTCATAAATATAATCTACTTATTTAGAAAATTCCAAAGGCACCACTGAAAAGGCTCACTTCTGGTTGCCACCGGCCTTGCCTGGGCAGGCAGGGCTTGCGAGGATGCTCTTGACTGGCAGGCTGGACAATACAGGAGGAAGTACCCAGCCACAAGAGGTTTATAACCAGCACTCTAAATTGTGCCTGGAAACAGATGGGCAGCCAGTGCAGATCTCTTTCAGCATACAGGTCATATGAACCCCATACCCTCCCCCTGACAGTAACCTGGTTGCTGCATTTTGGACTACCTGAAGTTTCTGGACCATTCTGAAAGGTGCGTTACAGTGATCTAACCTGGATATTTATAAATAAGACAAGTACTACATTTCCATACTGCCTCTTAAGACTACATGAATACATGGAGCTGCCTTATACTGAATCAGACCCTTGGTCCATCAAAGTCAGTATTGTCCACTCAACCGGCAATGGCTCTCCAGGGTCTCAGGCAGAGGTCACATCACCAACTACCTGATCCTTTGAACTGGAGATGTCAAGGATGGAATCTGGGACCTTCTGCATGCCAAGCAGATGCTCTGCTGCTAAGCCACAGCCCCTCACCAAGAAGTACAGACATTCTCTCCAAGACCCATGTGTAAACAATCCCCAAGACCTTTAGCCCTTTTCAGTGGCTCACTGAGACAAAGTTAGAAGGAGAGGAGTACATGGACAATGAAAAGCTGAACTTTGGGTGGAAACCCAGTTTTTTTAACCTTACTTTCCTGGGTGGGGGGAAGCTTAACAAAAGCAACTCAGACATATCACAGACACTTATCAACCTGGCTGAAAAATATCACCCCAGCAAACAACTATGTGGGTGAACATTCAGAGGGATTAAAAAAAAATGTTAAAAGGCCTGCAGGCAAAGGAAGACTTCAGAGGTTTAAAACAAATTGCACAAGCACTCCCTGTGTCACAAGGAATCCCAAGTGGATCAAAGTTCAAGCAACATCAAGGAGAGATTAGCCAACAAATTAGCTGTCACATTGGTCCCAGATAATGAGAAATACAAAATGCATGAGATTGTGCCCTGTGCAGAACCAAGCAGTATCTGCACTTATGGCGCACTTTCTCCCTGGAGGTCTGGGCCTACTCTTGACGCTTAACCGCCAGGTCAAAGCATTTTTATGTGGCCCAAGATTCCAACTGAGCTGAGGTGGGCGTTTTAGCATTTTCCTGTGGACTTTACAGTGTTCTGGAAAAGAGAAATATAACTCCTCTAAATAAATAAGTAAACATGCAACCAGAAGCAACTCTATTAGCTACTGAGAATCCCTTCCTTGGGCATATGACTTGGAGGGGAGAGAAACAGATGGAGTATAGCCAGGTCCCTGCTATTAAACCAAGTCTGCAGAACAAAAGAAGAAGCAGCAGGAAAAAACCCCAGCACTTAGAATCATAGATTTGGAAGGGGCTACATAGGCCATCTAGACCAACCCTCTGCTCAATGCGGGATCAGCCCACAGCATCTCTAGCAAGTGTTTGTCCAGCTGCTGCTTCAAGACTGCCAGTGAGCGGAAGCTCACCACCTCCCTAGGAACTACTCTTATTTGTTCAGTTAGGTCCCAAGAAATGCCATGCTGGCATCCGGGAATTGGAAATATCTATTTCTCATACTACTAAGGTAAAGGTTCCCTTGCTCGAAAGCCAGTCGAATCCAACTCTAGGGTTGCGGTGCTCATCTCCGTTTCAAAGCCGAAGAGCCAGCGCTGTCCGAAGACGTTTCCGTGGTCATGTGGTCGGCATGACTAAACACCAAGGCGCACGGAACGCTGTAAGTAAGACACACACACACACACACACACAAATACAATTATGAAACTGGCTCCTAAAATTATAAATCTGAAATATTGTTCCAATTCTGATCAAATTAGTTTCAAACAGGGTCCCCACAGAGCAGTTTCTGTGGCAAAAATGCTACAGCATGGAAGCCTGAAGCCCCTCCCTTCTCCGTGCCTCATCGGCAGTGGAATGTTGAAAGTGAGAGTTTATTAAAGGAAAGTCCCCCACTAGATTGTGTATGCATGAGTAGGATTGAGAACCTGTGTCCTGATGCATGGACTCCATATCATATATTTTGGCCCTTATCCTCTTTCCCAGAATGATAGCATGGCTGTTAAAGGATAAGGAGAACATTTATGGGTTCCCAAGGTATGCAGATACTCCCTACCAATTTGTTTAATATTCACAACAACCTGTAATTATTGGGGAGGGAGAAGCCAATTACATTGATTTCTATTCAGCAATCTTAACTGCTTTGGATTCTTCATAAAGCAGCTTTGAAACTAAAGAAACCAACAAACAAATGCATACAGGGAGGGCAAAAAAAACCCCCCAACTTAAAGGCAGAAGGAGAAAGCACATACTTTACGTTCTGCATTGCCGGTTGTTGTTGTTTTTAAATAGTTTTAGGAAATAAAACAGGCTATGTTTTCTTTACCCTGGTCTAAATGGCCAAGCCTAGCCTAATCTCATTGGATCTCGGAAGCTGAGCAGTGTCAAGCCCTGGTTAGCACTTGGATTGGGATCACCAAGGAAGTCCAAGGCTGCTGCACAAATGCAGCCAATGGCAAAGCACCTCTGAACATTTCTTGCCCCAAAAATCCAACGAGGTCATCAAACGTTGGCTGTGACTTGACAGCACTTTCCACCACCATGTCTTCTTTATACTGGGGGGGGGACTGTTTTTCTTACAGAAGGTGGAAACCGGGTATATGAAATTGGGATCATAGAACAAACCACTGCCCTTTAAAAAAAAACAAACCTGAAACATGACAGCTACTCTGGGTACACAGCACCCATAAATAAGAGAGAGGAAAGTCCGCGGCCCCAAGGGCACCCGGATACAACTGCTACAAAAGACAGGTGACGGGCAAGAGGGTATTCTAGGGATGCCAGGTCCTCACTGGCCCCTGGAAGGACATGGGGGGGGTAGGGTTGCCAGATCCTGGTTGGGAAATGCCTCGATTTTGGGGGAAAGGAGCCTGGAGAGGCCAGGGACCTCAGTAGGAAAATGCCATACAGCCCCACCCTCCAAAGCAACCATTTTCTCTGTAGTCTGGAGATGAGTTGGAATGCCAGGGGATCCCCAGGGCACACCTGGAGGCCGGCATTCTTAGGGTATTCATTTCTAAACATGATACCAATTCAAAGTAGCCAAAAGGTTGCAAACCCAGCGTGTACAGGTGGGTTAAAACTAGCCAGCAGCAGCTTTCCAAAAAGGACAGGGCAGTGGGCCGCTTATTAAACCCCAAAGGGCTGTACTACTCACTTTGCAAGCCCTCTTGCTTGTTCGGTCTTTAGCAAAAGAGAAAATGGGCGGGGACGACTGGGGCTTGGAGGGAGAGATACTTTTATCTTTTCAGGCTTAGTTCCCCCCCATCATTAACTGGCGAGGGGAGAAATTCTCCCGAAAGCCCAGTGACCATTTCACCCCCTCCGCACACTCCACACAGTGCAAGCTTACACCAAAGTAAGCCCACTGAACTCCGGGGGGCTTCCTGCATTAGCAAGAGTGCTTAGGACTGCAGCCACAGCTCTGGAGAAGAGAGGAGACGAGAGGAGAGGAGCAGCCAGGGCGAAAAAGGCTCAGCCCCCGGTTTCCCGGTCCCGGCAACGTGCTCCCCAATCGCCAACACTCACCAAAAACTGAAACATGGTGACGGCCGCCTCTGCCTTGTCTTCCAGCTAGACTCACACGAAACCCAGAGCCCCTTCCCTTCCGGGTCCCCGCCTCCCAAGCGTTCCGCTGACTGGCTCGCTGGCGTGACCGACGTCGCCATAGCCCTATCCCTGCTTCCTCGGGGCCTCTCCGCAACAAAACCCGGGCATCCCCATTTCCTCCCTCCCCCGTCGTAGGCGGGGAGTCGTCCCGAGCGAAGCTCGCTGCGTGATTCCTTTGGAAAAAACTGGAGCTGTAAGGAGGCTGCTTTTCCCCACGGACGGTTTAATGTGGGATATCGCCCAGCCCCGGATGCTAAAGGCGATCCGACCGAAACGCAACGAAACGGCGCGGGACGTACTGAACTCCGCCTTTGCAATCTGTGGGACTTCCGCAATGCAAAGCGTGTGCGTGTTTATACAAAAGGAAGCTATTAATTTATTCATTGGCGTTTACTACTTTTTCCTGGTACTACTACTACTAATAATAATAATAATAATAACAACAACAACAACTATACATAGCATTGTAGCCGAAAAGTGCCCTTAAATGTATAACTGTTCTTATGACCTTTATGTATATTTTTATTGTTATATTTGTTTTATTGTTTTAATCCTACCAATAAAATGTTAATGAGAAAAAAAAATGTGGCTGGATCGTTAACCATTATTATTGCTGAAGAAGTACCTGAGGTGCAGGCGCTCGAAAGTTTATACCCAGAATGAAAATTTGTTGGTCTTAAAAAAGCGCTACTGAACTCAAACTTTGTTCTATTATGATTGCTATTGCTGTTACAATATTGTTTCCACAATTCCATTAGGTAAGTTTGGAACTCAACTGGCTACATTTCGGTCTGGGGAAAAGTCGGATCTAAATGGATCCTCATGAATTCATATGATTTTTACACTGAAACGAAATAAAACCACCATCATATTGTAGGTCATGTATTAGCCTACAAGGGTCACCACAGATTTGTGGCACTACAACGGTGCAAAAATATGATTCCAAAGCACGGATCCTCATGAATTCATATGATTTTTACACTGAAATGAAATGAAACCAACATCATACTGTAGACCATGTCTTAGACTATAGGCAGCACTCCAAAAATCATGCCCCCCATGAATTCATGGCACCACAAAACTGCAAAAACCTGCTTCCAAAGGACGGATCCTCAGGGTTTTTCAGTTGAGTCACCTGAAACAAACCATCAAATCACATAACATGGCCACGGCCACGGCTTCGTGGTCAATCCATTCTGCAAAAACATGATTCTGAAGCACGGATCCTCATGGATGTTTGGGTTTTTTGTGTTGGGACACTCCCAAACATACCATTAAATCCCATATCATTGTTGGGGATGGGTATTGATTGGGAAATTTTGGGAATTCATCATCAATATTCTATCATGAGAAGTATTAGAGCCTGCTTTTAGAAGCTAGAAAGTAGAACACACTCTGTTAAGCTTACACAGCAGAATGCAAGATGTACAGCAGAATGCAGGAGGCAGTATGCCGTCCATCAGAAGGTAGACATCTATAGGAACATATTTGTTGATAAGGATAGTGTTAAATACCAGACTCAAGGCAGCAGGTGAACAGTGATAACAGCTTTATTAATGAAGTCAGAAGAAATCAGAATGAGACAAAAACATACAGCAACAAGCTCTCTTTTAAACAGTCCGGGCTTAGGTAGCCACGCCTATAGGTCAGTTAACAACCAATCAGTATTTACACATAAGGTCCAATCAGAGTGCTTCCCTCCAGAGTGTTGTGCAGCTCTGATTGGTCTGTTCACAATCCTGTTCCAGACTCAAGCTTAATGTTAGATCGTGCTAACAAAGGATCAGAGAGTGATTTCCAGCAAAAGTGATTCAGCTTTATTGAAGTAACGAACAAGCACTTAAACGCATTCATAACCAGAACAAGAAACAACTGGGAGCTAGGCTCCTTTTAAACATTCCCGGGCTAACATAGCCACACCTATTTACAATAATCAACCAATGGGGTTGTAGGGATAAAGTCCAATGAGCTTGCTTCCCTCGCAGGGACCAGTGGTAGTTCTGATTGGTCGCTGTTACAGAGCGACCAATAGGAGTTCCGTTCAGAGGAGCCTTTGCTCGGCTCAAGCTTAACATGGAATGTCAATGGAGTGATTCACGTAACACGTTCAATACATTACACTTAACATAGGTTTCTACACAACAATTCCTCCCCCCGAAGACGGAACAACTTGGGAGCACACATAGTCTTTAAGATAGGCAGGAGGTTGCCTGCTCCGTTGTGAACGTCTTAATGTTACCTCTGGGAAGTTGCTGAGATGTTCCCTATCTGTAGGGCTATTGAGGGTATCTGGTGTGACAACCGTTTGATACCTTTTCTCAGACCGGTTACTGGGTTTCATAGGAATACTGGGTGGTTATTTATTTATTTATTTATTTATGCTTTCGGCTTGTATCCCGCTCGAACCTTGAGGGGTCTCTGAGCAGCTTACACAATTATTTGTTCCCTAACTAAGGCCACAATCATGGGGGGGGGGGTGACTTCCTACCAGAACCTGGCAGCGAGGCCTCTTGCTGATGTCTGGACTTCTACGGCGGCCTCAGACGTTGGCGCTCTCCTTCCGTGTCCCGGGGCAGATCTTCTCCTCTTGGGAGTTGTCCGAGCTTGGAAGCTCTACCCGTTCGTCCAGAACGGGTACGTCTGCCACCGTAGTATTGGGCTCAGGGTCTACCTCAGCCCACCGTTTCCTTAGCTGGTTGACGTGCCTTTTAAACACTTGACCGTCAGCTAAGCTTACAGAGTAAGTTCGGGAACCCAGTATCTTGGTTACTTTGGCTGGCAACCACCGATGCCCCCCCTCATAGTTACGCGCATAAACATACTCCCCCTCCTCAAAACCCCTGGTCCGGTCGGTGGACTCACTCTGTGGGGGTTTGGACGTCGTTAGGTCCGGGTGCATGCGGTCGTGGAGCATTGTTAAATGCCGACCTATTAGCATTTCTGCTGGGCTCTGCCCTGTCACTGAGTGCGGAGTGGCGTGCTGGTGCAGGAGGAACGACGCCACCTTTTGGCTCCAATTGCCCTGCACCAGACGGCTCAGAGTTTCCTTCGTGGTCCGCGCCATTCTTTTGGCCTGACCGTTAGTAGCCGGGTGGAATGGTGCGGACGTGCTATGCTGAATGAGATTTGCCGCCAAAAAATCCTGGAACTCGGAGTCGGTAAAACAGGTCCCGTTGTCGGACACGAGAGTGTCCTGCAACCCATGAGTTGCAAAAATGTGGTGCAGCGCATTTATGACTGTGAGAGCAGTCATTTTGGACGTTGGGACCACCTCCAACCATTTGGAGTACGCATCGACTACGATTAAAAATATCTGCCCCTGAAATGGGCCCGTGAAGTCGATGTGTACTCTCGACCAGGGCCGGTGACTCTCTTCCCACTGCTGTACCAGGGCATGAGGGGGATCAGGCCGGGACAGCTGACACTCATGACATCTTTGTACTCAATTCTCAATGTCCAAGTCAACCTTGGGTAACAAAAAGTATCCCCGAGCCAACGCCTTCATTCGCACGATGCCGGGGTGGCATTCATGCAGTGCTTCCAAGACCTGGGTTCTTAGCTTAAGGGGAACCACCACCCGATTGCCCCACAATAAGCAACCCTCGTGTACAGCGAGTTCAAGTTGCCTTACTGCAAAAGGCTTGAATTCGTCAGCGACGCGCCCCACTGGCCACCCCCTCCACACCCAGTTGAGCACCCTGGCAATTGTGGAGTCTTTGACTGAGACAGTCGCAATGTCCGAGGTGTGCACCAGAGGTTTGGCCAGTTCCTCGAGGGCCATGACCTCGAATGCCGGTGCAGGATCCGAGTCCAGTTCAGGCAATGGACGCCGGATGAGGGCGTCTGCATGCCCCATGTTCTTGCCTGGGCGATGTTCCAGTACATAATCGTAGGCAGACAAGAATACCGTCCAGTGCAACATCCTGGCTGACAGTATGTTGGGTGTTTGCCGGTCAGGTACGAAAATTCCGAGGAGGGGCTTGTGGTCCATGGCCATCACAAAGGGTCTCCCGTAAAGAAAATTGTGAAATTTCTTCACGCCGGCCACCAGTGCCAAACCCTCTTTGTCTATTTGCGCATAGTTTCTTTCTGTTGGTATAAGTGTCCTCGAATAATAAGCGATAGACGCTTCCCTTCCGTCAGCCATCACATGGCTTAAAACAGCCCCCACCCCTTACGGAGAAGCATCCGCGGCCAACACCAGCTGTTTCGACTCCTTGTAATGTGTTAGAACAGCGTCAGAGGACAACAGTGACTTAATGGCTCCGAATGCACGATCGTGTTGAGAGCCCCACTCCCACTTCGCCCCTTTGTTGAGGAGCCTATGCAACGGCTCTGCAATGGATGCTTTATGCGGTAGGAACACATGATAAACATTCAATATTCCTAAGAAGGATTGCAGTTCCTTCTTGGACTCAGGGCGTTTTGAATTGCCTGTACTTTACCCATAGTAGGGTGAACACCATTTACATCAATTTGGAACCCCCAAAATTCCACGCTAGATACTCCTAAGTGGCATTTGACTTCTTTACCTTTAACCCTGTCGCTTGGAAGCGGCTTAACACGGACCTGAGGCGTTCTGTCAGTTTGTCCTCGGTTCTGCTGGCAATCAAGACATCGTCGAAGTAGGGTACCACCCCTGGCAGGTCCCTTAACAACCCCTCCATGAGCCCCTGAAATATACCTGGGTCCACGTTTACACCAAATTGCAATCTATTTACTTTGAATGCACCCCTGTGTGTGACGATGATTTGCGCCAAGGCAGCCTGCGGGTCTACGGGTAGCTGTTGGTAAGCCTGAGCTAGATCTAATTCAGCAAAGACTTTACCTTCCCCTAACGCTGCCAGCACATGACTAATCACAGGGACAGGGTAAGAGTGCTGCTGCAGTGCCCTGTTTATTGTGCATTTATAATCAGCACAGGCTTAATTGGTGTCACAATAGGGGTTTCCCATCTTGCATGTGATATCAGTTCTAACACACCTTGGGCTACAAGTTTGTCTAACTCGGCCTCAATACGTGGTTTCATGGAAAGGGGCACCTTTCGATACT